TCAATACCTGGTTAAGGCAGTGTAGAACTTGAAGAGGTGAATTAACAGGTGATAACTGATAACTGACATCCGTTAGATATGACACGTGGAACTAGAACAGTCTACCCCAGGGAACGAAATAAAGGGTTCAGTTCAACATTCCAACCACCTGAATCCAGTGATAGTGAGTTCAATACCTGGTTAAGGCAGTGTAGAACTTGGAGAGGTCAATTAACAGGAGATAACTGACATCCGTTAGATATGTCACGGGGAACTAGAACAGTCTACCCCAGCGAACGAAATGAAGGGTTCAGTTCCAACCACCTGAAGGAAGCCGGAGCGTACAACGTTGTGATAACTATGGCAACAAAGATGAGGACAATAGTCCGAATAAGGTAAATAGTATATATATATATATATATATATATGTGTGTGTGTGTGTGTGTGTGAAAAAATATAGTCTTAAGATGTGCTATATTTATGGGATAAAGTGCTCAATATCAGAGATAGAGCGTGTGTAAATGTAAAAGTGAACATATATATATATATATATATATATTAAGAAATGGACAAAGTCCGACAATTTATTTATTAAAGACATTTTTATGTTTAACGTTGTTTTTTTTTATAGATACAAGTATTTAAGTAAATTTATTTACTTAAATACTTGTATCTATAAAAAACAACGTTAAACATAAAAAAATTTAATAAATATATATATATATATATATATATATATATATATATATGATTTCTATTTCGATGTAAGAGCTTCCAACAGTTATTTCTAAGCAAGTTCGTAAATTAGAAATTTTCGGTCTCAATTTTACAATAGGTTTATTTGCTTATTTCAAATTTCTTAATACTTTATACCAAGATAATTCATATGCACTGCGATTCAATTCAATTCCTCCATTTTTGTTTCATACATTGCTGGACATATCATTATCATTTTCATGTTATGTTTAAGTTTTTCTTTGTACGCCAGTCAAGGTCTTAAGTTTTTTGTCCATCACTGATCTGGGTTTGTGGTAGAAAAGATACAATGCCACCAATTTTACATTTACAGAACAATATTAAAAAATTCTGTCGGGGAATAGTTCCTGCAAATAGTCGAAAGCCATCGTTTATGAAAGACATTACGCTGATTAAATACGTACATGTATACAGGCAAGCTTAAAAAGACAGAACAGATTTCTAAAATTTAGTAAAAAATAATGCTAATAGACATTGAATACTTTATTATTCTAGTGTTGTTCAATTCGTATGCACTCAAGATGAGCATCATGTATTACGCGACATACATCGAAACTGTATTCCACTTCTTGCGACACTCAAATCAATTGACCTGTGAATATTGACTTCACAGCTTCAGCAATTCGATGCCTCAAATCTTCAAGAGTAACAAGCATAAGTGGAAAAAGCACTATTTCTTCATATATACCCGCTCAGATACAAATCGGATTTGACCTGGACGATGAACAAGATCCTCTTTTCCACAAATTATAATAATTTACATGTATACAAAATCTTTAAAAAAAACGACAAAAAGAAGCATTTGTTAATTTATTTAAAAATAAGGCTTTTGCTATCTAGTAATGTTTTGAATGCGTTTATGTCTCTTTGCATTTGTTTCATTAAATTTTTGAAATCTGTTTTTTTCTTTTTGAATATATATATATATATATATATATATATATAGAGAGAGAGAGAGAGAGACAGAGAGAGAGAGAGAAGAGAGAGAAAGTGTGACGACAATTTATGCGATGGATAAATTGTCTAAATTACGCAAAAAAATAAAAAAAATAAAATAAAAAATAAAATACTGATATTTCATTTTAACAGATATATTTACCAAAATTACACAAAATATCGTAATGCTAAACAGTAAATATATTCAATAAAATCGCCATTGGCTTCAACCACGGTCCCCAAACGACTTCAGAATCTCTTGCAACTCTTCTTGTTTAAGTTGGAGAATGTTTCCATAATCCTTCCCATCCAGTCATCTTTGAAAGAAACTTTGTTGGTCTCTTGCTCAACTGCGCCCCACATATAATAATCAAGGGAGTTGCAGTCTGGGGAGTTAGGTGGCCAGATGTAAGGGCTGATGAAATTATCTGGCAGCAATGACTAGGATCTCCTGCTTGAGTGTCATGGTGCAAAGCCTTGTTACCATCAGGACGTTGGTGATCATGGCGTTCCACAATTTCCAGTCCTTTGTAGGTCTTAATAAATATTGTCTTTCTATTATTTCTGTTTACGCCAGTAAAGCTCACTTCGTATGTTATGCATTGTCTCTCTCTCTCTCTCTCTCTCTCTCTCTCTCTCTCTCTCTCTCTCTCTCACTCTTGCCTTTAATCTGTCCTGTGAGTATCAGATTTTCCAAGCCTCCCTTCCTCATTACGTATCCTAGAAATTTCAACTGTTTCTTCCTAGTGTTAAGTATAATTTTTCTTTTTTGTTTCCTTTTTGTCGAGTACTTTGTCAGTGTCCAAGTGTTAGGTCCACAGTATTCTCAGCATCCTTCTGTAGAACCTCATTTTTGTTCCTTCAAGTCTCTTCTTTATCTTTAAGGAGACAGTCTAGCATTTACTGACATATAGGAGGATAAATATCACATAACAATTTAATACTCTTTTCTTTGTTTTTAACGAAGTTTTCCTGTCTCTTAATACTGTGCTTAGCTTTTAGAATGCATCTTTGGTTAGCCCAATACGTTTTCGGATTTCAGTAACGTACTTCCCGCCTATGTTAAAACCCTTTGCAGAGGATTTTACTCGTTTGATTTTGTTATCTTCCATTTCTAATTTGAATTTGGGGCCCATCCTTTTGCTAACATTCATTTATTCTGTTTTCTTGCAGTTGATGTTTAATCCCTTATTCTCGCTTTCCTTCATAACCTTCTGTAGGGGTTTCTTTTGTAGTTTTCTTTCCGAGTCTGCAACCAACACTGTGTCATATGTATATCGTATGTTAAGATTGTAGACGCCAATAATGAATTCTGTTAGAATTTATTCCTCCTTTTGTTCTTTTGTTTTTGTTTTGCCTGCGTTTCTGTCTCAGCTATTATTTGCTAATCAACAGATTTCTTCTTCCTTCTCTTCGTGCTTTCTTTCTTTTTTGTCCTTTCTCTTTTTTCTTACTCACTTTCTTTTCCCCACCCACCTTTTCTCTTTCCTCTTTCTTGTTTTTTTTTATTTATTTATTTTATTACTTGGTCCTTTATTGACTTACCTTTCTATCTGGCTTTCTTTCTTCTATTTTTTTCTCTTTCTTTCAAACTTTGAACACGATCTATCCTAAAAAACCTGTTACACCTATTCGCATTATTGGGACCAGCATTTTACTTCCGGTAAAAGTACAGGGGACTTAAGAGTCATCTTTCGTATAACGTCTGAATAGTTTCATATAATAGACATTTAAACCTCTAAGTGAGCTCCTTGCTCTCTCGACAAAAGGTGATACAAAAATGGAAAAGAAAATGCTATTCTAATCCGCTTTTTTCCCTTTTTTTCTTCTTTTTTTGTAAAGAAGAAACAGCATTTCCTCCCACAAAACTCTAGATGTTTAAAGATAACAAAATAAGAGAGAGCAACACAAAAAAGACATTATATAATCACGAAACTCCAAAGGATGTTTTTTAAAGTTCATAAAGAAATAAGTATTTTACAAAATACTGCATACGAAATGCCAATGAAAACTACTAAACACATCTGCTACAAGGGTGAGCTGAAAAATTCATAGGCTGATTATGAAGAAGTGATGCTAGAACTGTGACATCTTGCATTAATTTGAACTGTCTTATTAAAAACTGCATTATTTCCAGATAAACTGATATCTGACTGTTAAAAGAAGACTGTTCATCCTGTTCGTCAAAAAAGTCATCATCGGCAGATATGACGTCTTAATCACTGATTCCCAGCCAAATGTATTTTTTTATGTTGGGGAACAGATGATAGATCAGGATAATAGGCAAGGGTGATCAATCAGTTCTTAGCCTCAGCTACGCATAGCAGCCATTGAAAGCAAGGACTTCTGTGCTCTAGCATTGACCTGATGAAACAAGACCCCTTTCCTCAGTTTTCTTGGGCATTTGGCCTTTCGAAGCTGCTTCAGCAAGTTGGTATAGCACTCTCCATAGATAGTGTGGCCCTTTTGAATAGTCAAGAAACGCAATTCTTTCTGCATCCCAAAATCCTTGGGCCATCACCTTCTCTGCAGATGAAATGGGGCTGGTCAGGAGGGCTGTTTACATTATATATATTGTCTCTTTGTCATGAACCCAACATCTTTGGTTAGGACACGTTCAAGGAAACCAACTGGATCTGCTTCAAACAATGTCAGATTTTCTCGTGATGTGAGCATCCTGGTGCGCTTTTGATCAGCTTTCAGAAGACGTGTTCTCACCGAGCAGAAACATTCGTTATGCCAATTTCCTTGGGCAAAAAATTCTTAACTCCCTCACGGAATATGTTAATTGGCTATTTGATCTATAATCAGTCGCCTGTCATTCATCACAATGCGGTGAACAGGATCAATGTTTTCCTTATTGGTGCCAGTTATAGGACGTCCGAACCTTGTGTCATCTTCAAGACTCTCCATTTCCACCCTAAATTCAGCTGCCAACTTTTGCACTGTTGATAAAGCTAAAACGTCAACCGCTAATATAGCGTTCTCCATGAATGTCCTTCGGGGCTAAACCTTTTTTTACAGCAAGTTCATAACAACACGATGCGAAATTTTGTCCATTTTCAAGAGAAGTCGTTACTAGTTACTTCTGAATATTTAACTGAACAGCCAGATGTTAGTTTTCCCTAAGAAATAACACAGTTATTAATATGAATAGTTGAAATTAATGCATGCAAGATTTCACAGATGAAGTATCACTCCTTCATAGTCAGCCTATGGACATTTCAGCTTACCTACGAAAGTCTTTCTGGCTTAATTCAATAAAGTTATAATCTTATTCTAATAAAATATTTCACTGCGATGAGATTGCCTTGTGATTCTATCAAAGAACTAAAAGAAAATGTGAGGTCCTCTTACAGGCAAGCAACTCTATGTGACTACGGTCAGCTACAATTCAGAGATTACCACAGCAGGAAACGTCTATTTACATCCTGCTCGCAAAGTGATGCTTAATCTTACTTATTATAAAACGCAGATTGTGTGTGTGTGTGTGTGTGTGTGTGTGTGTGTGTACGTTTATATATTAGATCGGATTTCCTACATTTTTCAACCGATTTCAACAAAACTTCACAGGACTACGTAAAATTACCTTGCGGTGGTTCTGACAGCGCCAAAAATTGGAAAAATACAATTGTTTTTGCACGAAATCAATTTGAAAACACGATTAAGAGGCATCGCGAGAATGAAAGGGGGGAAAACTCATATCGAGTTATACTTATTATAAAACCCAGGTTTGTTGTGTGTGTGTGTGTGTGTGTGTGTGTGTGTGTGTGTGTGTGTGTGTGTGTTCGTTCGTTTATATAAGGGATCGGATTTCCTACATTTTTCAACCGATTTCAACAAAACTTCCCTTTTTTTTGGCAGGTAGTGTTTCTTATTGTCCTGCACACTTTTTTCTTTATTTTTACATTCAGAATGCTTTAAAAATTCCATTTACAAGACAATTGTTTATAATAAAATTCTATTCAATCGGTAGACTCATAACGATTGAAAACAATGTTTTTGTTTCAGTTTGGGTTTGACCAATTCGTAAAAAAAAAAACTAATTAAGACATGCGTGTCCGTCAACCTTAAACAATAATCTTTGTCAATTTTATTTTTCAGTCTTTATGATGGTCGATACTTGATCTATCTCTTACTGTTACATCCCCGGGCAACGCCGGGCTCTACTGCTAGTAATTATTAATTTTCGCCTACTTTTGAGCCATTTCTCAAAAGTGGTTCCAGCTTGCCAACTCATACGTATCAATTGAGTCCTTAATGAAGACACAGGATTATCAATGTCATATCTAGGCTACCTAATCCTCACTTTCCAGCCTTGATAGAGTTCAAGAGCGTCTACACTGTGTTGATTAACTATTTTCCTGCCTACTGTCCATTTCCCATCGACGAGAAGTTACTAGCCTCTCGCTACTCTGTAATTATTTCCATGTCAATAGTTCAAACAAGCTACATCCCTTCGTTCCACGAGTTCAGATCTTTACAGTTAGGACCGTTATATCACGTATATGCAGGAGCGATGGCATTTCATTGGCAAGGAAGAAGATTCACTCCGACAGCTTCTTTTCCGAGAACCGTTACTTTATAGAACAGATTCCCGAGAGAATGCGTCATCGATGAATCTTAACCTCTTTACGTCTAACGTCAACAACATAATGACATAAGCCACATGTTAACATTCCACACAACTTGAAATAAAATGCTTGGAAACGCTGTCAATACTGTAAAGAGCGATAACAGCTACTGAGCTTTAGAAACCTATTTTACTGAAAAAATTGTTTTAAGAATGATTTTATAAATTTCAACCGACCGTAGTATAAGCTGCTCTGTCAATGAATGCTGAGTTTTTCCTTATAAGGAAACAGTTAATATTGGCATTACCATTCTCCAGAAGTCAGAACGAATATTTTATTTGGTTGGTTTGCGTTAGAGCGACTTATCAAACTCTATGGATTAGTTCATGCCGAAAATAAATATTTTGTACGCATTTTTTTAGATAATGATAGTTTTAGAGATACACGTCTTACTAATTAACCCGTAGATGGGAGGAGAAGCGGTAGATTCCTATATTTCTCGAGGGTATTTTCGCGTAAGTGAATATAATGAACCCAACTGGAATTGAAACTCGCCTCTCCGATTAACAATATCGAGCCATTGCACCACACGCACATTCAGTTCTACAGCACCTGTTATTACCAAACACGAAACGAGAAAACATTTGTACTTTGTTCCCTCACTGAAGCATCTATAGGAAGATTAACACCGGCATTATTTTTTTTCATCCGACGTTTCATCTTGTAAAAATGTTCCATTCACATACTCAAGTACATTTGGCATAATTCATCGTATTCAATTCAATAAGCCAACTTTATGAAACGAATCTCAAGTCGTTTGCACTTAACTATCTGTTGTGGTAGGATCCACCTAATTTGCATAGTGGAGTACCGACCATATAAATATGGTTGGTACCGGGAAGAGAGGGAAGAATCAAGAGATTCAACCAGAGACACTGCCCGACTGCGACTCAGTCAACACATTCTCCAGGAACGGTCTTACCAGGAATATACAAAAGACTATATGTAAATATTGTGTACACTTTCTTGTTTCAATACATTTTGTTCTAAGTACATTTTGTGTTGCATTATTATTCCATGCATTAGTCAAGTTTCAACACTATCTATCTATCTTAATCTGTTCACATCTATCTATCTGTCTATCTCTCTCCCTCTCCCTCTCTCTCTATCTATCTATCTTAGTCTGTTCACATCTATCTCTCTTAGCCTGTTCACATCTATCTATCTATCTATCTATCTATCTATTTTATATTAAGTAAGTTTTATATTTCTGTTTCATTTTGCACAGAACCAGCCGTCCAAATTCATAGAACACTATCGTATTCATGATAAGTCAGTAGGACAATTTTAATAACACGATTTTGTAAATAATTTAAAAAGCATATATTATTTTTATTGTTTGGATATCAAATTTGAACTTGTTTTTCTTAGCTTCATTTCCGTAAGAGATCTAACGAACTCACCAGTTGTTTTATTGATTTTGTGGATAATTACTAAACTTAGCTTAGTTTGGTACAAGACCAACGTTATAATGCAGTTAATATCAAAATCACTACTGAGAAATTATTATCTGCTGGCTCAGCTTGACAAATACGGCACCATTTGTCACAGGGGTTTCCAAACTTTTTAAGATTGCCGTCGCCTTGCGTATTGAAACACAACCCTAACGTCCTCGCTAAATGTATAGTCAAACTCTGATTGGATTTCCTTAGTGTTAATATTGCATGTCAAGTCAGTATCTTCATAATTTCTATAATAATTGTTACATGAACAGGATACACTGTAAAGTGAAGGCAAGGTTCACTGCAAGTAAAATGTGTGTGTGGTGTATGTTATGGTTCACTTGCCATTCTATGGTTGCACACTTTTTCCTCATCGCCACCCTGAATCTTTCTACTGGCCCAGGGGGGCGGCACTACTCACTTTGTGAATCACTGATTGATTATAACGACCACTGTGGAGATAATAATGTTAGTGTGAACTCCGCGATCATTTCGATGGCTGCGTAGTATCTGCTTCACCAGGACAACGTACGGTTTTCAATTCGAAGTTGTTCTACTCCTAGTCTGGTCGACAATCATGGCTAAAGTGCACTGCTATTTAATTAGGATTAAATAGCAGTGTAGTAGAAATGGATTCATACCTGTATCAAGGATATTTATGCGAAAGTGGATGTTACAAACTCAACCGGAATTTGAACTCAGCACATCGATTTCTCGTTCTGGGTCGCTAACCGTTACACTACCTGGACGCACACTTCAGTGGACGCCAGCACCTGCACTGTTATTGTATTTGATTTATTCGTAAGTCTTAAAACCAGCTCAAAGGCACAAACATTAAATAGCTGTTATGGGGTCCACCCCTTCCTCATACAAGTGGACTCGACCAGTGTGTACTTGTACTGCTGCTGGTGAATACCCGGGAGTTAGAGAGAGTTAGTAAGAGAGATACACCGATACACTGATACAGTGAGAGTGTAAGGTAACCGTTTTGTAGGAGTCACAGTTGCGAGCACGTAGACTCAGAAGGAAGTCATACTTCGATACTGAATTTCTCAGACTGTATATATATTATTATTGCTACTAACCGCATTTCTGGATCTACTAACCGTATTACCAATTGTATTATTACGTCAATACATTTATTTGCTATATTTCATTCCTGCGTTTGTCATTCATTTGAGACCGGATTTCATCCCGGAATCCACAACAATAGCATTACTCTTCTCACAACGAATCTGATGAAAGACGTTAAGATCAACAAGTATATAATAAGCAAAAGACACTGTTATACATAACATGACACAGAGATCCCCTTTCTGTCCATTAATTTGTGATGTGCTTATGTACAAGAAACGAGAATAAAACAACTGGCGTTAGCACGTCATTTATTTACTAATTCAAGCGTAAAAGTCATCCCTTTCAGGTTTGTATGGACAGAGAAGGGTGTAGTTAATAGTAAGTGCTGATTATGAGGATATGCAGGATAGATCATGGTTAACCCTAGACTTTGAGAGGTTAAGATTGTAGTGTTTGGGAAAGCAATCATCTCGGGTGTATGTTAAGTGAAATAGCGGCTCTTGGAAGAAGCTATCTATTATGGGGTCCACCCTTTTCGGATATAATGGACTCGTCCTGCTGCCATAAAATAGCTACAGTCAGGCAGAGAAGATGAGTCGTACAGGAGTCGTCTGTCGGATGGAGTGAAGTAACCTCTTGTAGAAGTCAGTTACAAGCACGTAGACTCTCAGGAAGTCCTACTTCGAGACTGTATATATCTATCTGTATTTGCTACTAACCGTGTTCCTGGATTTTACTAACAGCATTACCTTTTGTATTTTGTGTAAATACATTTAATTTCTTAGATTAAATACTTGCGTTTGTCATTTATTGGATACCTATTTTTCACGCGGGATCCACAACAACTTGGCGAACGAGGATTCGGAACTCACGCGGAAAAGAAAAACTTTTCGAACGCCTAACCAACAACAACTTGGCCACAAAGATTCAAACCCAAGCGGAAAAGAAAAAGAATCAACAAAAGAAATAAAATAATCCTTACCTCGTCGTCCAACAACAAATTAGCGACAAACAATTTCGAGGAGTAAAAATACAGAAAATTGAGCTATCATGGAGAATTTTAAAACTAAGTTGATAGAACTAATAAAGCACCAAAATGAGCAACAGTTACAGCTACAAGAAATATGGAAAAATCAATTATTACAAACGCAAAAGGAAAATTAAGATAGACAAACAGAGCTCCAGGAACTAATATTGAAAGTAGCAGGCAACAAGAAATTAGATATTGAAAAAGAAGCAACATTTTCGCAAGACGCTGTGTGGAATACCATAGAGATTTTCAAATATTCTCTAGATGAGGACAAAAATTTTGGCGATTACTTCAGAAGACATGAAGACATCTTTAATATAGACTGTCAAAATTGGACAGACGCGAAAAAGCTACGTCTATTGCTTAGAAAATTGGGAACTGAAGAATATACAAAGTTCGTGGATAAGGATGGTTCACCGATGTATCCTCTGTATTCTGTTGGTTTTTTTTTTTTTTTTTTTTTCTGTGAAGGTCTGGACTGGTAGAATTAACAAATCTAGTCCAGAGGAATATTTTCTACAGCGATTGGTCAGAAAAAAAAGGAATTAGAAAAATTTGGATTCCATTTCCAACATCTTTTTATCTGTTCTTCAAACAGCCGCGTTAACTACAGTACAATCCCCTTTCTTTCACTATATTGCTGAAATATTCTGACACTCACGAGATATCAGAAGATTCGTGACACGCACTTGATAATCAAATAATTATTGATCAGCTGAAGACGGTGAAGGTATTGAGAAAAATACCGGAGTTCATAGGAAGTCTTATGTTAGCTGGCCTTCATTAAATACTGTCAGTTAACATTCAAATAAGAATTAAGAATACTAACGTGCTCATGAAATTTACACGGTTTACTGTTTTTCATTGGTTATACCAAAAGTAAACTTCTTTTTATTTTAAAATGCATTTGAATATGAACATCTGTACATACTTTCCATGACACAAGGCGCGGTATAGTACCACAATAGCAAAATACATTTTTATTCCGTGTCATCCCTACAATAGTAATGGCAAAACGTAACGATCGTGCAAACTAACTAATTAACGAAGGCAGGGCACGGTTTTCCTAACTGAAAATTCTGATGAATCTTCTTAATTCTTCAGTTATTGATTGAATAAGCTCATGGCGAGATCTACGACAATAAAATATTCATAGAAATCCCCCTATCTCATCGTTAAATATTTGAGCTTAACAACTTTAACAAAATATTGAAATAACAATCATGGAAATATTTGAAATTGGCATTTTCCATAACAGACTTTAAACACTTCTATCTATCTTTCTTGCTTTCTTATTGAAACCAAGTAGCGTTTTTGATATGTCTTTCTACACATTCATAATAGAATAGCCTATTATTTATGAGGTATTGACAAGACTTATATCTTCCTTTCTTTCTTTCTTTCTTTCTTTCTTTCTTTCATTCATTTTCTCAATGAAACCAAATAGTATCTCTGACATGTCTTTTCCGTCTTTTCACGCCGTAAAAAACTGAATAGTCCATTATTTATAAGGTGCTGGCAATCAATCGCATGAACTAACTACCGAAGGGAAGGACAATGATAGACTTCTTAAACTGACTAACATGTCATATTAGGAAAAATGAATCATAAATGATTTCCGTTTTGGGGAATTAACTGTAACGATAGATGTATTATCCTAACTATTAATCATCCATAGAAAAATACATTTGGAGCACAATGACATAGCTTTATTCTCGCATCACAATGGCAGCGTACACAGAGGATTAAAAAATAAATTTCTTAGTCTCACTAACGGAGTAATTATCCAAGAACGGCTCGCTGATATTAAAGAAAAATACTTCAGAGATGGAACGAATATATCAAAGAACGATGAAAGAGAACAGCCGGAAGTAAGTAGAAATATCGACGGAGCGGAAATATTAAAATCTGAAGTGGAATCTGCAATGGCCAAATTGAACAGAAAAAAAGCAGCAGGGCCAGACGGAATTGTAATACAGATGCTGGCAGCTTTAGATGATTTCGACATAGACAAGATTACAGAAATAATAAATGAAAACTACAGTAGTGGTGATATATCGGAAGACCTAAGTAGATCTATTTTCATAGCCCTGTCAAAGAAGCCAGGTGCAAACGAATGTGAACTCCATCGGACAATCAGCCTAATGAAGCAAATAACAAATCTTATCTGAAATCTGGTGAATAGCACGCGCCAAAAAACGACTAGAAATAGGACAATAACAGTGCTGGTTTGTCAAAGACACTGGAACAAGGAACGCGATATATATATGCTCAGAATGCTACCATAAAGAGCAATACAAATGCAGAAGATTGTGTACCCGGATTTTATAGATTATGCAAAGATGTTCGATAAAGGACACCGTAAAGATCTGTTAGAATCGCTCATCAATCTTGACATAGTTGGAAAAGATATTGGAATAATCATGAGCCCATAAAGGCTGCAGACCGCCTGTATATGAGTTCAGAAAATATATTACAATACCAAGGGGTGTAAGACAAAGATGTGTCTTCTCACCGGACTTATTTAACATATACAGCAAGGCAATTCTGAGAGAATTAAAAGTTCTATCAGGATCCATTGTTGACGGCCACAATCTTAAGAACATAAGATATGCAGATGACACAGTGTTGATAGCCGATACAGAA